GTTGAATCGGGTGTGGGGACTGCTGGTGTCTAGGCTCGGCGGGACAGTTAGAGCAACTGTATCCAATACCCGAGGGGCCCTGGGATTTACTAAAGGGATTTGTGGTTAAATTGGCGTCTGGTGGCCTCCTGGGTTAATATTAGTCACGTCTAATATTACTAATAAATCCGGCCGGCTGGAAGTGACGCGCTGCTGCTCTGTTGTGTGTGGCCGCTACCGTGTTCCACCCCAGAGGTGGCTGCCTCCCTGCCCCAGTGATTCTGAGGAGCAGCCTGCACAGCCCAAGAGAAGCAGCCTGCAAGGGGGGGGGCACGAGCCCGCTCCCCACCCAAGCCACCTCCCTTCTTAGTCCCATCCGGACAGGAGGCAGCAGAGAACCACAAACGACCCAGCAATTCTCTTCCAGGAGTTCTGGCTCCTAGCTCACGAATTTTCAACATTCCTGCCCGGTGCTTTCGGCAGGGAACGGAGGGCGAGAGGAAACGGCTATTTCGAGAAAAACACAGCAACTCCGATTGCTTCACGGGAAGGGGCTCTAAGCAGCCTCCCCCCCGGCACCGTACCCCTGGTCTCACCCCCCAGCACCCTGAGCCCGGCCCTGGGGCCCCCACCCACTGGGCTCTCGCCTCAGCTCCTGCAGCAACCAGCCCGCCGTGAGAATCTGGACAGGCCTGGCTCTCGTGTGCCCCGTGGGGACCTCGTGTCGCTGCACAGGAGATGGAATGAACACGCCGGCGTCTTCCCCTCCCGCAGCCAGCGGTGCCGGGCGGGACGGGGGGAAGCACCCTGAGCCCGGCCCTGGGGCCCCCACCCACTGGGCTCTCGCCTCAGCTCCTGCAGCAACCAGCCCGCCGTGAGAATCTGGACAGGCCTGGCTCTCGTGTGCCCCGTGGGGACCTCGTGTCGCTGCACAGGAGATGGAATGAACACGCCGGCGTCTTCCCCTCCCGCAGCCAGCGGTGCCGGGCGGGACGGGGGGACCAGGACACGGCTCCGATGCCCCCGAGAGCATGTGGCCGGGGAGGCCACTCCCACCA